AGGAGACATTGCAACGATGCGACCAAAGTGTTGTGCATCATGGTTGCCACTATGACTCCCGAGCTTCAGAGGTTCTACATTGGCCATATGATATGAACAAGGACTTGATGGAAAAGTATCATCAATTAGCTCGTCAAGAAAGTTATGAAATAGTGAAGTCCCTCATAACCAGCAAGATGAAGGATGGAGAGTTCTAAAGGAAAATCTAGTTCTAAAGCTCCCCTGCCTGTGATCCTAAAGAGGCTACCTGCTTCTATTGCTACAAAAAGGGGCACTGGAAGAGAAGCTTCCGCAAGTACTTGCTAGATATAAAGGATGGTAAGATCAAGCCAACCTCGACAAGTATTTACACTATTCAATTTAAAAACTCATCACATTCTAATTCTAGGGTCCTTGATATAGGATGTGGTTTTCACATTTATTCTGACTTGCAGAGACGAAGAAGAAGTGAGGATGTGGAGCATGCAAAGATGAACCTGATTATGGAAAATAGGAAATCATCGCTTGTTACCAAAATTAGGATTTACTCTTTAGTGCTTAGTAGTAGGTTAAGTTTGGATTTAAATAATTGTTGCTACTCATCATAAATGACAAGGAATATTATTTCATTTCATGGTTTGTACACACAAGGTTTTAGATATTCTTTCAGTAATGAGAATGGTTCTATTAATGCTTATTATAATGGTGTATTTTATTTTGAAGCATTACGTTGTAATGGTGTATATGAAACTATGATGATTGTAGACAAGTTAGGAAATAGTGTGTTACAAATTGATGCGACTAATCAGGGGCGGACGTAGGATTTTACAGCAGGGGTTGCACGGGAGAGCTAGGGGTTGCATAGTAGTAGAAAAAATAAATTTTTTGAAAACTTTTCCACTGTGGCCGGAAAAGTTAGGGGTTGCCGGTACCACCGTGGACCACCCCTAGGTCCGCCCCTGCGTCTAATTGTTTAGACAACGCATGCTTGTGGCATTATCATCTTGGATATGTCAACAAGAAACGCATTCCCGACTACAAAAGGATGGAGTGTTCGAATCATTTGAGTTAAGGTCTGTTGGGTCTAAAATATTGGTTTATACTTTACTTTTCTAGGCAATTGTATTTTTCAGTCTAGGACTGTAAACGGACTGGTGTTTATGGTTGTTTGGGTTAAAATTTTGGGTGTTCACGGTTGTAAGGTGTTCACAACCATGAATATGTTCACGGCCGTGAAACCATTTGCGGTCAGGGTTCTTTGTACGGCCGTACACGAGTTATCGACCGTAAACCCAAGTACGACCGACTATCCCCTATATATAGGGCTTGTCAGTGCCTGTTAGTGTGGGATGAGCAAAAGAGAGTGTATGATAAAGAGAAGAGAGGAGAATGATTGTGTAAGTGTGTGAATCTTGTGTAAGGAACTTCATTCTAATAAAAAAAACATACAATATTCATATTATTCTTCTTCTTCTTCTCTTCTATTTTGATCTGACATCATCCGTTTGATTGGGATTCCACACCATCAAACGGATCTGATTGATACACAAGCAGATTGGGGACTTACAAGTGGTATCAGAGATTGGATTATAAAATATTGGGGTGGAGGGGGATCGAACCCAGCTCCCCTGATTGATCAAATGCGCGCCTTAGCAGCTCAACTACATTGCAAGACGTTTAACACTTCCCTCCTTTTAATCATATAGTCTTCGCAGTAAGCAAAAAATAATCAAAAGGAAATCGAGTGTTGCAAGGATAGAACTCGGATGCTTGTGTAAAAATCCCACGCGTCTTACTAGTTGGACTAGCAAGTGCTTTGTTCTAATCCATCCGAATTTAATTCAAAAAGAGACGTTTCTGGTTCCTATTTTTTCGCAAATTTAACACATTTTGCCCAAAAATCAATTTTTCAAATTTTAAAATTTCATTTTCAATCAAAAGTTTTGATTTTTAGTTTTTGAATTTGATTTTCAACTTTTTACCTTAAAAAAAATTGAGTTTGACTTCAAAGTTTGACCTTTGACTTTAAATTTGACTTTCTTGTTTAAACTTTCAAATTTTCAAATTTAGCTTTTGGGTTTCAATTTTAAGTTTGATTTTTAAATTTGACTTTTAAGGTTGACTTTTGAGTTTTCAAGTTAAAGAGCATTTTTGTTAAACAATGAGTTCCTCAAACATCAAAGTTAATGAAATTTCCTTCGAGAATTTACGTGTGCATTACGAATTAATACGTAGAGAGAACGAGGAACTAAATACGAAGGATACAAACTTAGGAAAGACTAAAATCATTAAAAGAAAAATTAGATTCCAAAATTAAAGATTTCAAGAAACTGCAAGAAGATTATAGCAACAAGTGTGAGAATTATGATCACATCAAAAATAAACTTGCTGTTGTAACCAAAGAACTTAACACATTGAAAATTCGTTTTGAAAATGCATATTTTAATGTAAGAAAATATGATGAATCAAGTGAGGTACTTGCATCAATGATTGAAAAACCATTAACATTCAAAGATAATCAAACTAAGGGGTTAGGGTACCACAATGTTCCACCTCCCTTTGATTACAACTATAACCCACCCCTTGAAACCAATGACGAAGAGACACATGCTCAGTTTGGCCCACTCCCTGAACTAGCTCCAGTTAAGACTGAACAATCATGGCCAACTGAGGGTGTTGAGGTGAAGAATATTGATATTTCTACTTCCTGTGCAGGTAAAGTAGTAGAGGATGAGAACAAGGAGAACACTATTGAACAAACCAATGACTCCTTGAACTCTGAATCTGTTGCTTCTAATTCTGTTACTCCTAACATACCTGATGTTGGTAAATACAGGTTTGCAAGTGTTCTTGGTAAATACACGCATGCCAAGTTTTTGATAAAAGTTCTCAAAGAGATCCAATGTGCGTTCAAGAACATTGTTTTGACAACGATTTCAAAGGGGTTGAGTAAAGGGTTAAATGGTTTCAATTGGCTGTTGATCCATTTGATTTTCAGAGGGGTTTTCCATCAAGGAAATAATGTTTTGATTCATTTAGTGGGTGGTTTTCTTTGATTAATCAAAGTGTTAATTACTGATGATTCGGTGTTGCTCATTTGAAGTTTTCTCAAGGTTTGATTGATCAAGAAAGAGGCGTTGAAGAACGAAACCATTAAGTAAAATTTGTAAAGAAATCGGAAAAACACACAAAAACCCTATATATGTATTATACTCCAACGCTTAAAAAAAATCCTTATATTATCAATTGGTACAATTTAACCATTATTATTTGTGATATTTATTATTTTGATGATCTGTAACCGGTTAAGCTTAAGGAACCGGTGGCATAAATGTTGTGGCATCTAAATAGATGACATGGATGTACATGGGTGACACGTTGGCAAAGAAAACTAGGTTAAAAAGTGCATCACATCTTATTCTGCTTCTTCAAAGTTATGATCTTGTTCTTGTTGCTTTTATTCTTTTAAATTCATCTTTGTAGAAATGGGCGATCGATCATATGGACCTTCTTCTTTTTCTTCCTCAACTCTAAACTACAAAAACGTTTTGTGTAGATGTGGTGAACAACCGAAGATCTGGACTTCAATGGCCAAGAAGAACCCAGAGCGACATTTCATCTGATGCTCTAATTTGCCGGTATCTTAGATTCTTTTAAGATTGATACCGTTTCTCTAATTGTTTCTCTAATTCTTACTCAGATACTTTATTTTTTTTGTAGGATACTTCAAAAGATTGTAAATTTTTTGTGTGGGTGGATGAGGATTTGGGTCTTCATTGGTATAAGAGTAAAGTGAATGAGTTGCATAGGGAGAATATGATCCTTTCTAAAAAGAATATCGAACTGGAGAAGGAGAACATGAATCTGCAGAAGAAATTAATGAACTTTGAGCTAATTGACAAAAAAGAGACTGGTGTATTCATGGTTAGGTTGATGATGTATGGAATTGTTCTGGTTTGCATCTTCATTTGGGTTATAATTTTGTAACAAGGAAAGTAGGTTAATGTAAAATAGCTAATTATGTAGGGTGATGTTGTTTTGTTTATGCACCTTTGTAAATTTGAAGAAATGTACTTTAAAGACTTAGCACATTATAACCGTTATATGTTGGTTGAGAAAGGATTTATTGAATACATCTATTTTATGAAGAGAATGTAATTGTGTGAGTATATGGATTGTTCCAAGTTCCCTTCTTATGGTTCTAATGTCTTTTTATATTTGCGTACAAATTAGTTGGACAATTTTACCCTTTTGGTTACATATTATCTCATTATGGAGATTATTGTTGTTGGTTTCAATACTTACCTGTGTTTTTACATTTTAAGCATTTGGATTCAAATGGTAATCAGATGCACATAGCATTTTTTTGCATAACATTTTTTTGAACACACACCAACATCAATAGCATCAGACATTAAACACATATACCGTTTAACCTTTTTTTGGCATTATTGAATTGATAATTGGGAACATTAGATGCAAGTAAAAATTTTGCATAATACTTTTTTTCACGCACACCAAGACCCAACGTAGAAACAGAACAGTAACAGAAAAAAAAATACTGAAACAGAAACAGAAAAAAAAAATATGATTTCAGTATTGTATTGATAAGCTATTCCTCATTTTACCCTCCTGAATCATATCTATTTTAATACTCTATCCCCATTGATTTGGAAATTCATAAACAGAAAAAAAAATGATTTATCATACATAAATTGTTCACAGGAAATAGTTCAATTCACCATTTTTGCCCATTGACCATTTTGCCCTTGGTGGTTGTTTATGTTTTTAGCATACAAGACAAAATATGATAATTATGGGGGAAAAAGAGGAACATAAAGTACATTTTTAACATTTTTAAAACACAACTCCATTAAAAAATAGGAGGAATATAACCTGTTAATGGGACATAATATTATTACATTTCAATAACAAAATACTAGGAGTACTAAATTCCAAGTAAAGAAAGTATTACAAAAGACTAGAGTTTTGTCCCATTCCAGCTCCTAAAATCTAATATTCTAAATAATCCTTCCAGATGGCTTTCTTGGTTTGAGCTTTCCACGGATAACAAGTACATCAAGTACATCAATTACTATCCCGCCAACCACATTAGATTGATCTTCCAAATTAGCTACAAAATTTTTTTTGAAAGTATTAAATTTAATATAAGCATAGAATATATATATATATATATATATATATATATATATATATATATATATATATATATATATACTATTTCTTACCATATTCAATATCAAATTGAGTTTCAGGCACTACATCTTGAGTTTCGGCCACTCCATCATCTTGAGTTATAGGAACTACGTCATCAAATTGAGATTTAGGGAATTGCAACAAAGGTTCATCTTCTCTCCTTTCCATTTCAGTCGTATGTAGTTCTTCCTCAAAATTATCAAACATGTCTATAACTTCATTTTCCATTGGTGAATCAAAGATTTCATCAATAAATGACCTTCCTCCTCTACCACCACTTGTACTTGCAGATGATCCTCTTCCACCTCTTGACCCTATTGGTCCTTTTCATCCTCTATCACCACTTGTAGCTGCAGGTGGTCTTCTCGGATGTCTTTCATCAGAGTTTATTTTTTAGGCCTACAGGGAGGCTTCTTTTCCTTAAGAGGGGCACAACCTTTTCATTCTTGCATGTCCTAGCATTGTACCCTTCTTGTAAACAGGTGTGACAATTCTTTATTTTCCCTTTACCCGAAACAGTTGGATACTTTGTCTGTTTTTCATTCTTATCTCTTTTTCTTTTAATAGAAGGCCTTCCTAGCATCCTATGTTCTTTTGGGGGAAATAGCTTATCATATTGAGTTTTAACCAATAAATTGCTTCCATTTAAGGGAACAACGGAAGTGCTATAAGTCAACTGATATTTTTCCTTCTTGAACCAATCACTTTACATAGTCAAGGAGATTTTGGTGGGTATGATTTATAGTCGCGCATGCATGTACACATGGAAGCCCAGACAATACCCATAGCCTACATGTGCATGCCCAACCTTCCAAGTCTACCATATATCCTTCATAACAATTTCTAACCTGCAATAGAGGCCCACTTGGGATAACAATCCAATTCCTAGCAAATATGTAAAGTTAGTATACTATTTTTAAAATTTAGTGTAGAACAATCGAATTTGAAAAACAATCTATACCTCATCTTTTTGTGCCATTTTCTCATCTTTTTAATTATGTTTGGGGCAACAATAGTTTTCCATGAATTTATGTTCCTTATCATTGCATCAAACCTCTCTATCATATGATGTATAATCTCTTCTAACATAGTTATCAAAGGTTTCACCTAGCACCAATGATCGCAGAGTTAAAAGACTAAAATATTCCATTTTCTACAGTCTCACATGTCCTATCTGTTTCAAAATAGGCCCTACACAGTTTTAGGATTTCTTTTCATGAGATCGTCATATGTATCATTGTTCAACTCTTTCATCTTTTCCATATTGTTTTTGAACTCTTGATCTGTTGCGGACTTTGCAAATTTCCAAAATAAGGTTTTATAAATCTCTCCACTGAAACGCTTGTAAAAACTGGCAAAAATATGACGGGCACATTGTCGGTGCTCAGCATCTGGAATCACCTCCTTTACAGCTTCAAGAAGACCGTGCATTTAAATAGGGGTTGTTTCACATAAGGGTTGTTTTGTCATTTTAAATATGTCAAACTTTGTTAAAAAAAAGTGTCCAAAAAGGTTAATAGGGGTTTTTTTCACATAAGGGCAGTTTCGTCATTTTAAATATGTCAAGATTTGTTAAAAAAATGTCCAAAAATGTCAACATGGGCTGTTTTGACATTAGGGTTGTTTTTTCATTTCAAATATATCAAAGTTCGTTAAAAAGGTGTAAAAAAATGTCAATAGGGGCTGTTTTCATATAAGAGTTGTTTTGTCATTTTAAATATGACAAATTTTGTTAAAAAAGTGTCCAAAAATGTCAACAGGAGCTGTTTTGATATTAGGGCTGTTTTGTCATTTCAAATATATCAATGTTTGTTAAAAAGGTGTCAAAAAATGTTAATAGGGGCTGTTTTCACATAAGGGTTGTTTTGTCATTTTAAATATGTCAAAAATTTGTTAAAAAAGTGTCCAAAACTGTCAATAGGGGTTGTTTTGACATTAGGGTTGTTTTGTCATTTCAAATATGTCAGAGTTTGTTAAAAATGTGTCAAAAATGTCAATAGGGGCTGTTTTCACATAAGGTTGTCCTGTCATGTTAAATATGTCAAATTTTGTTAAAAAGCATCCAAAAATGTCCATAGGGGTTGTTTTGACATAAGGTTGTTAATATATATCCATATTGGTCAAAATAAGCATTACTAGGTAGAAAATTACCTTATTTTGATGTGATATTAAAGTAAGCTCATTTCCTTGAACTGTTTCAATATCTGATTGTAGTAATTCAATGAACCACTTCCATTTATCTTTATTTTCTACGTTCACAAACGCCCATGTAATGGGGTAAATTTGATTGTTTCCATCTCGACCAATAGTAGCTAGCAACTCTCCTTTAATTTTCCCTTTCAAGAAACATCCGTCTAAATCAATCACCTTACGACATCCTTTCAACCATCCTTCTTTTAAATCCTTCAAACAAATCTAGATTCTTTTGAAAAATTTTGCATCCGGATTGACATCGACTCCAATTTCAACATAGCTTCCTGGGTTTGATCTCCAAACTTCATTACCGTAATCCCATATTCTAGCATAATGATAAGTTAACTTGCCATCAATTAGTGTAAATGCTAACGTCCTTGCCCTTTCACACTGACCTTTCCTAAGCTTTAAAGAATATCTCTATAAAAATCAACTTTCATTTCTTTGACTTTCGTTTTGGTATTGCGAATGCGGTCACCAAGATAACGGTTCACAATTCAACTTGGAGTTATCAATTACCCGAGGTTGTATTTACATGCACAAACATGTTTCTTTTCCAAAGATCTCACTTGCCAAGTTAGTTCGTTTCCCATCCAAGACGCCCAACATCTAAATGGACACTTATTATCATCGGTTTTTTTGCCACAACGTACTAATATCTTAGAACGATCACACTTGGCGAACCTCAACTGGTATCCATTAGCCACCGCATAATTTTTTAGACAAAGCTTGAACTGTTCCGGGCTTTCATATTTTTCCCCCAAGTGTGGTTTCATCATATTCCAAGGGATCCTAGGGTTGTGTACAAGAAATTGGTCTTCAATTTGTTGATCTTTATGCTCTCCTTCATCATATTCTTCATATCAATGGGTCATTTCAGCATCATCAAATGATATTTCAGGCAATTCCACTTCACCCTGTACCAAGTCATTCAAAAAAGGATCCGATATTGTTTTGTCCATTGAAAAAGGAACATATTCTTCTTCATCAGACTCATCAACTGTTCCATTCACACCCTCTGTATGAACTTCACATAATACATTTGAACTTGAAGTCAGAGTTTTTAGTTAAAGCTTCCTTGAAGAATCAATGGAAACAACAAAATAAGTAGGGGTAAAAGACGGGTTGATGTTCAGATTAAGCATAATAGAAAAGATCGATTACCTATTTTTCGTGTGATTAAGCAACAAGTTTCCCGCCACTTCCAAGAAGCTTTCCCTCCTGTATGTAGCTTTGCCTTTCATTTTTTTTACAGAATGACCGCTATCAGGTTAAAAGAGAACGAATGTAGTCCACGTAGATTAATAAGAACAGGTAACCTAGGGTTACCAGATAAATGAGATAGGTTACAGGGTTTCTGAAATTATAATGGTTAAATTGTACTAATTGATAATATATGGGTTTTTTTAAGCGCTGGATTATAATACATAGGGTTTTTGTGTGGTTTTCTTAATTCTTTGTGTTTCGTTGCTATTAGCGACAACTTTTCCGTCGGTAAAGTTCGGTCGCTAGTACCTTGTTTTCTAGTAGTGGGATGTGCCAAATATAAATAAGCATTCCAAAAGGAGAGACAAAATGAGAAAAAATTTATTGATTTCAGAGAAAAGAAAGATTACAAAAACGAAATGAAATTTGACTTGTCTTTAATCATATGATTATTGACACACACACACAACTTCAATATTCAATATTGAAGGTCGAACAATGACGTCCAACTGTTATTGAAAAAAATACAAACAAAAGTGCATAACTTTTTTATTGAAATTCTCCACCATGAGAAAATGTTATTCAAGGATACCGGGCAAGGATTGGGACACATATATTTGCCAACAGATCCGATTTCGTAGTATACTCCTTAACCTCAGCAAGCTTCATTCCATGAAGAATTTGGCGGCGTACATCCTCTATCGCGTTTTCCATTTTTTCAATGTCTTCGCTTCTGATTTTGCTTCTTATGCTTTTGATTTTGTTCTTCAATTTGTAAATGTAATCCTCCAAATCGCTACGTGCAGAATTCTTTTCCGTGAACTCCTCGTCCACTATTTTGTACCTTTGTGCATCTTGCACCATTTTTTTGATGTCTGCCTTTGAAAGCCTCTGCTTGTCATGGTCGATTCTTACCTTCTTTGTAAGCCCAGTGGTTACTTCCTCCCCGGAGCAGTTTAAAATACCATCATCATCGATATCAAATACCACTTTTACCTGTGATGTACCCTTCGGAGCAACAGGAACTGCAACTGTGAATTCTCCTAACCAGTTATTGTCTATAGCCCTAGTTCTCTGCCCTTGATAGACATTGAAAAGTATAGCACTTTGGTTATCCTCAGTTGTAGTGTAATTCGCTTGCCTTGTCAATGGTTTTTTCGCATTTTTTTTTACTATAACAGATAAAGAGGTGTCATAAAGAGCTACACCAAGTGACAATGGGACAATATCATTCAACTCGAAGTTGCTAACTTGTGGACTACTTTCTCCACTTAACTTAGCAGCAAGAACTGTTGCACCATATGCAACAGCCTCATCTGGGTTGATCTTCTTTGAAAGCTCTTTCCCATCAAAAAAGTCTTTCAACAATTGTTGGACCTTAGGTATCCTAGTTGACCCACCAACAAGAACTACCTCATCTATATCTGTCTTATTAAAACCTGGATCACATAAACAACTATCCACCATCTGTACGCAATTAGTAAAGAAATATTTATTCAGATATTCAAATTTAGCACGAGTAATTCTCATAGAAAAGTCGACACCCTGATGCAAAGCATCAATTTCAATCGTAGTTTCAGTCGTTCAAGAGAGGGTTCGTTTTGCTTTTTCACAAGCCACCTTCAACCGACTCAGTGCTTTCACATTCCCACTCATATATGTGCTGTGTTTTTCATTGAATTGCTTCACAAAATGTTCCACCATAACGTTGTCAAAGTCCTGACCACCTAAGTTAGTGTCACCAGCAACAGCATTAACTCGAAACGTACCATTTACATCAATGGTGACAATAGATACATCGAAAGTACCACCCCCCAAGTCAAAGATGAGCACATTGGTTCCACGAGTTATATTTGTACTCATGTCAAACCCATAAGCGATTGCAGCTGAGGTAGGTTCATTGATTATTTGTAGAACATTAAGTCCAGCAACATATCCTGCATCCTTTGTGGCTTGACGTTGTGAATCATCAAAATAAGCTGGCACAGTTGTAACAACGCAATTTTTCAAACAAATTTTTCATATAAAATAAAGTGATTTTATTCAACTAAATATAATTATTCCAAGTTTCAAATCAAAATACAATCATAAAACCCCCAAGATCTCAAAATAACAACAGTGTGTATGCATCACGCCGGCGCCTTCCCACGGTCCTCGCTAGTACCTGAAACATATACATAACAACTTGTAAGCATAAATGCTTAGTGAGTTCCCCAGTATACTACTTACACATATACGCCTTTCCAGGCCCTGACCTTCCGGTCTACAACACAACGCCTTCCGGCCCGTAACATAATCGCCTTCCGGCCCATAAACATACACAGCACATAATACATTTATCCTAACACATATAGCAAATATATCATATATCATACCTGACCTTTCTGTCACATAACATATTGCCTTCCGGCCTATATAAACATACATAGCACGCATATCAATTACCTTTCCATTTATAGCACGTATAACACATATCATATCCGACCTTCCGGTCACACAGTCAAACCCTTCCGGGTACAGTATAGTGAGACGACTCACCTCGCGGGTAATGAAAGCTAGCGACTCCTGAAATCACTCGCACTCGATCCGCCGAGCTGCAGACTCCCTATAATATCATATACCCCTTATTAATACTTTTATCTTTCAAGACAACTAACCCTAAGAAATTACATGTAGGTCAACTCTGGTCAACGGTCAACTTGACCGGACTCGGCGAGTGCTATGGCGACTCGGCGAGTCTAGACGTCCTCACCAATTCCCTGATGTTCCCTTTCTACTCGTCGAGTATCTCCCTTGGCTCGACGAGATCCTCGTGGAAGAATCGCAGGGCCACCCCGACTCCACTCGCCGAGTCTGAAGAACAGCTCGACGAGTCCCAGTTATTCTTCAAGCTACTCGCCGAGTCTGTTCATTGGACTCGGCGAGTCCATGCCATGCAGTCGATCAAACTGCTTCCTGAGATCGGTATTGTCCCGACCATTCATAGGTATGGTCCTCCTAATCTGGTACAACACGTAAGGCCTTCATTTAGGTGCTCATGCTACACCCCAAGGCCTATAATCTACATTTTGACCTAAGGCATAAGGATTCCACTCCAAAGCCTCCATTGATTTCCGAAATATACAAGCATGGGACATTCTGGACCTCTAAAGGTCCTAATACAAGGCTATAATCGTTTGGAGAACAATGGTAGCAATCAATCTAGTCATAAAAGGGTTCCATAAACCCTAAATCCATGCACACATCAACATAACAGAATATAATCCGAAATGTTACCTGAATAATGCACTCTCTGTGTCCCCAATCCTCAAAACGTGATCCCTTGCTGTTTCCTTTAGCCAAACCCTTCTCCTCCTTGCACAACAACTTCTTCAAGATCACCAATGGCCTTCAATCTTGCTCTAGATGCACACAACCGACTAGGGTTCTTCTCAGTCGACTAAAGACGGACAATGACGGCCTATAAGTGCATTATATACGTTCCAAAACCAAACGGCTAGGGTTTCCGCTGAACAGCGCAGACTCGCCGAGTCCATATCTGGAC